CTCACCACCCCCCTTCCTCAGGTGGTGCCCCCACAGAGGAGCTGCAGCGCCTGGCCCAGGCCAACGTCTCCATGGACATCCACACCTTCACCAACCTGAACCCCTGCGCGCTGCAGGTGGGCCCTGGGGGGCAGGGGACAGGCTGGCCAACCCGGGGAGCCCTAGGCCACAGGTCCAAAGGCACCCCAGAGTGGGCCCCGGTCACTTCTCCAGGCTGGTTCTGCCACATCTCACCCCTGCTCACTCCCTGGGTAAGCGCTGCCCTGCCGGGTCTCCCCTTGGTCCTAAAGCTGGGCCCCCACTTCCCTTGAAGAACCTCAGTGTCAACAATGTGAGAACACTGCTGGGCCAGAACGTGGGGGACCTGCAGAAGGCACGCAGCCACCCAACCATCAGCTCCTGGCTCCGCAGCCTGAACAAGTCCCTGGACGAGCTGGGCCTGGACACGGACCCAGCCAGCCCCACCAGCCCCACCGGGACTCACAGCAACACCCCCTGGACGTCCCATCTGACTCCCCCAGGGGAAGGGCCTGGGAAGGACGCCCCCACCTCAGGTACAGCCCCACATCCAGCCCTCCCCCTTGGCAGGCCTTCCCCTGCCTCCGCTTGGCCTTGTCTGCCCAGGGCCCCATGGACCCCAAACTGCTACTTGCGCCCAATCTCATACTCTGTTGGCCAACAGTTTTTCCATTTGCCCCTCAGTTGACATTTGGGTGACACTGGCTTCACCCTGAGTTACCGCAGGATACAATCACCTCCTCCAAAGCCCACTGATCTGCATAGAGGCCAAAACCCAGGGAGGGGGAAGCTTTGAGATCTTTGTTGGAGCCCAGAAGAGTGGCCACACATGGTCTCCCCTGCCCAGAGGGATAGCGTGAGCCTGGAGCCCAGAGGGAGGGGCTGCCCCAGAGCCGCGGGAGGGTCCTGGGTGTGGCTCCCAGCAAGGACTGATGGGTACTCTCTCCATGTTGCACCCACAGGCAGCCCACCAGCCCACCTGGGGTACCTGCCACTTGCTGTGGCCCTGCCCTCCAGCCTCCTGTGGCTGCTGTATTGGGGTGCCCTGGGGCCCTGTTGGGACTCACAATGTCCTCTGAAGACAGCGCTGTGCTGGTAGGTGGAGCCGGACGCCAGCCCAGGCTAAGGTGCAAGCCCCGGGCACAGAAAACCTCAAACCTCGCCTAGGAGCCTGCCCACACCCGGCTCCCAGGACCTGCAGCTGCACTGAGGGCCTGGGCAGAGCTGTGACTACGGGGTCACCAGGCCCTGCCCGCTGCGGGAGACATGCCCCACCCTCTGGTCTTCTTCAGGACAAAGAACTGGGGCTGGGGCGCGGGCTCCATGGCACTTACTCCGCGGGTTTTATGTCTTTCTTTTTTTACTTGGCTGATTTTAATAAAGAACAAGGTGATCCTCCTGCGAGTGTCCCTTTGCCCTGGCCCCGAGGAGGGGCACAGAGACCCTCTCAGCTGTCTCCTGAGAAGTCACCAAGGCCACCCTGGGTTTGTTGGCCTGGCCTCAGGGGACACGGGGGCAATGGAACAGAATCAGGAAAGCCCCAACCCCCACCTCACACTCCCCTCCTCCTGCTTGGAGTCCCTGCCCTGCTTCCCCTCCTTTCCTAGTATAAACAGAAGGGCTGCAACTCAGGGCTCCAGCCCGCAGGCCCCCACCCCTGAGAATACCACCGCCAGCCAGCCCCTCCTCCTCAAAACACCATAGCCAGTTGGGCCCAGGACACCACCGCTGTCAACCCCCACCCTGCCCCTCCGAACACCACAGCCAGAAGGGCCTCCCCCTGTCCCCGGAGCACCACAGGTCACCTCTTTGGAGGGGGAACGGGTTCTCTTTTATTGAGCCCCAACCCCCGGGATGGAGCAGGGACCGCCCAGGCCGCTCCCACCAGCGGGAATCTCCACAGCAGGGCCCCGTTCAGCCTCCAGGGCAGTGAGCTCAGTTCAGCAGCAAAGCCAGGAGCAGAGCGGGGATCACAGTGAACGCAGATCCAGGTCCAAGGAGGTGGGAGCCCCCCAAGAGGGCCTCTGCACAGAGAGGGAGTGACTCAGACCCTCCACCTCATCTGCCCAGCCCGCCCCGCCGGCCTCCCCGCCCGCCTCCCCGCCCACCTCGAAAGTTGAGATCTAGGACCAGGTAGCCGTTGGGGATGCCGCCGTGGAGCCCCAGCCCCAGGCTGTCCAGGTCGCTCTGCCGCTGCCGGAAGATCCAGTCCCGCACAGGGCTGTTCCCCTGCTCTGCCTTCAGGCCCTCCAGGTTTGGACCCAGAAGTTTTTGCACCTCGGCAATGGTCAGCGGCTGCCAGAGTCCCCAGGCGACCGTCAGGGTCTCCCCACCTCTGTCCAGAGGCTGCTGGACTCTGCTGTGTCCAAACCACCCCATGCTTCCCCAGCCCACAGACTTTGGAGCTGGCCTTGGCTCAATGGCCCCGCCCCTCCCCAGACCCCACCCGCTCAGTGCCCCTGCCCTGAAAGGCCCCCATCCAGGACAAGCCCTTCTCCGTGGCCCCGCCCTTCCCATGGCCCACCCTCCAATGGCCCCGCCCCTCTGGTGGCCATACCAGCAAGGCCTCTTTCCGCAGCTTCTTGAACGTGGCCATGTCCAAGCTTATGTTCTGCCGAATGAGAGCCCGCAAGTCCTCCGTGGAGGCCCCACCTGTGCCCAGGGAGAGGGGCCCTACGCATAAGACCTCACAACATTCCCCCCACTCTCACCCTCTGACCACAAGCTAGCAGAAGCCCACTTCCTTTACCGGACTCCCTTTTCCTCAGGAATTTCTGGGCAAACCCTGGTGACCACCTGCCTCTCCCCGTCAGGGTAGAGGCTGGAGGTGGTCAAGTGCCTGAGCAGGGGTCGGAACGCACAGGGCCTCAGCCTATATATGCTTAGCAGTGGTTCTCAACCTTCCTAATGCTGCGACCCTTTAATACACTTCCTCATGTTGTGGTGACCCCCAACCATAAAATTATTTTCGTTGCTACTTCATAACTGTAATGCTACTGTTACTCATGTTGTGGTGACCCCCAACCATAAAATTATTTTCGTTGCTACTTCATAACTGTAATTTTGCTACTGTTATGAGTCGTAATGTAAATATCTGTTATGCAGGATGTATTTTCATTGTTCGTGACCCACAGGTTGAGAACCGCTGGCTTAGAGGGATGGAGGGCACCCTGACCCCTGGGTGAGAAGCTGGCAGCACCGATGGGGACCTCAGGCCCCCCCCCCCCACCCCCCATGTCCTCCTGGCTCACCCAGGAAGGGCTTGATCCTTGCAAAATATGCAGAACCGCTCATGTTCCGGAAAGCAGCGTGGGCCTTGTGATAGAGGACCTCCATCTGCGGTGGACGGCACGCAGCCAGGTCCTGAGGCCTGACCACCCTGGGGAGGCAGTGTGGGGCCAGGAAGTGAGCTGGGAGCACAGCACACCCTCCACACCCGCAGACCCAGGGACTCACCAGACAACATCCTGCTGCACGTAGCCCAGCTGCTCGGGACTGAGCGAGCAGAGGTAGGCAGGATGAAAGCTGGCCAGCAGGTCCAGGGTGGCCTTGTCCAGCCGGCCCCCTCCCACCAGATAGCGGGCAATCAGGGCAGCCACCTGTGGGAGGACCCCAGTGAGATGCCTCGGGGCAGGAAGAGACATAGCCCCTCAGGCCTGCACAGCCCACCCCCTGTGCTCCCCTCCCAGCAGGTGATCACCTGAGCATCCACTTTTCGCCCTGTGCTGACTTTAAGCAGAGATTTCACGGTCTCCAGGGATGTGACATTCCACTTGCGGATGTCCTCGGGGGTGACCTCAAGGAAGAAGTAACTCAGGTGCTGGATCAGGGACTCAGGGTACCCCTGTGGGTAGGCCTGCCGGGGAAACTGACCATGAGGGCCACAGCCACTCCCAGGGGGCTGGGAAAGGCTTTGGCACCGCAAGCAGGCGGGAGCCCAAGTCAGGAACTACCTGGTCCAATTTGCGCTTTAAAATGTCAAGCTGCTGGTAGGTGAAGGGAATCGCGTTCACCCGGTCCATATGCTCAGCCAGCAGGGCGCCATCCACACAGGCCTCCAGCTCCCACTCCATGTAGAAGACGAGGTTTTCATCCACCACATGGACCTCTTTCCCCGGGGGACAGGCCTTCTCTAAGGGGCAGGCAGGGGGTCAGGGGGCTGGGCTTTCCCAGTCAGCCTCCTCTTCCTCCCGCACCCATGCTGAGACCCTGGGCCACACATGACCCTCTCCAGGCCTCAGTTTAACCATTGGCTCAATGGGGTGCTTCTGTCCATTCTCCAAAATTGAATGAGCAGAGCAGCCAGAACGGCCACAGCACCAGCAGGTGAACCACCCCCCACCCCCCAGGTCTCCTGACACTTGACGGGCTGGGCCCTGTGCTCACTCTCTGTGCCCTGCAGAGCCCTCCGGAGAATGACGATCGGCTCAGACTGCTGCCAGGACAGGTCCTGGGAGGTACGTTGCAGCCATGGGGTCATGACACCCTGAGGACAGAGCAGGGTTCTGGCTGAGCCACACGGCCCAGCATCTAAGGACACCCGCCTAGGGCCAGAAAACCCTCCCCTTATCCCAGAGTCCTTACCTGTCCTGTGTCTGCAGTCTGGGCCCAGGAAAGTTGCACCCACCCTGCAGGGCAGGGACACAAGGTTCGAGGGGATGGCGGGGGCTTCTGGGTGTGCCTGCTACAGGCCCTACCCTGGGGAGGAAGGAGGCAAAGCCATCCCTTCCCTGACCCCCAGCCCTGAATACACCCCACAGGTGTGGACACGGAAGGTTAGGCTCCTGTACCCCATGATGTCACAGCCACCACACCCCCCCCACCAGGCCAGGTCCGGCACCGCACCAGGGAGCCCAGACCTCTCGCATCTTTTTCCTGGGACACCGCTGCTCAGTGCAGGCAGACACCTATCCCCCAAACACCCTCACTTTGGCCTGAGTCCCCATAACATCACTGCCCTGGTTCAGCCTCCAATCCTGTGGGGCAGCACAGGAAGAGACATGGCTGACAGCCTGCCGGGAACTCCGCACCGCTGAGGTTCAGGATGCCACCTGAACTCAGAACACTGAGATTTCAGACATCTGCCTGGGATTTGAGGCACCTGCTGAGGACGGGGGGGGGGGGGGGGGGGGGGGGGGGGGCTGTCCAGCAACAGAGAGAGCCTTTCCTGAGATCCCGATCCCCTAAGAATCCTTGGCTGCCCTCCAGCGCTCTCCCATCCCAACCCTTCGCAGCAGCCCACCCCCAGTACTCACTGAGGCTGAGAAGCAGGAGCAGGAGGCCGTGGGTGGGGGTCCTGAGGAGCCCCAGGGTGGGGCGAGCACTCTGCAAGGCCATGGTCTGTGGAGGACAGCCGCTCTGATGTCCTCACTGCTCACGCACCCATGCCCATGCCCACAGCCAGTGAAGGGGTCTCAGACCCCCTGGGGCTCCAGGTGGAACCTTCTCAGGCCCCTGCAGCAGTGTCTGGGCTGCCTCCGGGCCCACTCTAGGGACCAAGCAGCCACCTGGCCCGCCCAGCCCGCCCCCCTCCCGGAAACTGGCCCCTCCTGCCAGGGGTGTGGGGTCTGAGTCAACCCTGCCGCCAGCTGTAACCCTGCCTCCAGGGGCAGGCAAACAGCTGGCCCATCCTCTCTCCCTGCAGCGCAGGGCAGTCAGGAGGCAGGGCCGCCTCTGCCTCAGGCTGGCCTCAGTTTCCCCATTTGCACCAGGGGGACTAAGCAGTTCAGGACTAGGGGTCCTGCTGGGGCATGGCCATGTGCCCCCTCAACCTGGGGCATGGCCATGTGCCCCCTCCACACCCTGCCACACCCACAGCCACAGGTGCTGGGCTTTGTGCAAACCCAGGGCCCAGACAGGTGGACAAAGCTGGTGGTTTCCCTTCTGAAGTCCCTCTCAAAACAGAGGCCTGGGTGGGTGCCAAAGGGCGAGGCCGCCTCCCACCTCCAACCCCTTGGGTGGGGCAGTGAGCGGGGAGGCATTCCTGTGGGGGTGGGAGGTCCCCTTGCAGTTTCTAGAGTGAGAGGTGGGTGAGGAGGGTTGTCCCAGGCTGGGGTGGGGCCTGAAGGAGACCAGACCACCTTCTGCACTTGCCCAGGGAGGCCCAGGGCTGGAGGCTGCCTGTGGCCCAGTGGAGTGGAGCCTCCCCTCCCTCAAGCCTTTGCCCAGGCGTGTGTCAGCCCCACCCCTGGCTCATAAATGGGGGTGCGGTGGGGGGGGCACATTCATGCTTCAGCAACCCCTTTCAGCTGTGCAAAGAGCCAGCCCTGAATACACCCCACAGGTGTGGACACGGAAGGTTAGGCTCCTGTACCCCATGATGTCACAGCCACCACACACACCCCAGGCCAGGTCCGGCACCGCACCAGGGAGCCCAGGCCTCCCGCATCCTCTTCCTGGGACACCGCTGCTCAGTGCAGTCAGACACCTGTCCCCCAAACACCCTCACTTTGGCCTGAGTCCCCATAACATCACTGCCCTGGTTCAGCCTCCAATCCTGTGGGGCAGCACAGGAAGAGACATGGCTGACAGCCTGCCGGGAACTCGGCAGGGTGGGTCCCAGTACCAGGGCTGGGGGTCAAGGGCACAGTGTATTCAGCTGTGCAAAGAGCCAGCCTGCAGGGAGTGTCCTGAGGAGTGGCAAGGCCCCAGGGAATCCCTCTGGCTCCCACACCAGGCCCCAGAGGGGATGGGAGAAAACCAGACCCCAGACCAGAAAACGGGCCGTGGGTGGGACCAGGCAAGAGCTGCACCTCCCCCTGCATCTCCCCTCAGCCCCCACCCAACCCCACGTAACCAGGGGCCCCCAGCACCCTGGGTGCGCCACCCTGGGAGCCTCTGCCAGCCACCATGGGCCCTGGAATCAGCACCCTGCCCTCCCCACCCAAGGTCGGGTTGGGGCCACAGAGACACCTCAGCTGTCTTAAGGCTGCAGCTTCCAAGCTGGCCAGGATGCCACAAGCAGGAATCACGGTGTGGAGGCCAGTCCAGGGCGTGGGTACTTGTGTGTGACATGGGTCCCAGCGGGGGCAGGACAGGGTAGAACCGAACATGGTCCGATGAGTCCTCTAAGACCAGCATCCTCCTGGTCACCTGTTACTCAAGAGCCACCTGCATACTCGCTTGGTACCCCCTGCATGTGAGCCCTGGTCAGAGGCTGGAGCAAGGAAGATTCAGGCCCTGTCCAGGAGGACCCTGGGTGCGGGACCTGGCCACAGAGAGGGCTGGCTCTGCCCCTGCCCCTGCCCCTGCCCCTGCCCCTGCCCCTGCTACCAGAGCAGCCTCCATCTGGGGTCTAAGTGGACCACAAGCTCCTCAGAACAGAGTGTGAGGTGGAGGTGACTGTGAGGGAGGAGTGGCTAACTCCTCCCCCATCCTGAGAGTCACGCGCTCACAGCCTGGGGCAGGTGCTTGGCTGCAGGACACTGGCAGAGGCTCTCTCCTGCCCCGCCTGCCTGGCCTGTCCACCCCCCACCCCCTGCCCCTCCTGCAGAATCTCACACCTCAGCCCAGCCTCAGTCCCCAAGGTCTGGCCCTTAAGTGATGGGCTATGAAGTCAGACCACATTCCAGGGAGAGGGTGGCAGGAGAGCAGCTTACAGGCTTAGGACAGGTCTCCGATGGAGATGCTGTGCAGCAGCCCAGGTCACACAGCGTGTCAGGAGCCGCTGGTGCAGGACAGAGCTGACCCTCAGGGTACCACGCTGGAGCATGGGGGGGGGGGGCCTTGTGCTGCTCCCCAAGGGCAATGAGGACTAGGGAGGGGCATTCGCGGTGGCAGAGGCAGAGGCAGAGGCTGCCCCACTTCCCCCAGCCTGTTTGTTTGGGGCTGCCAGGTGCCCCTGCTGGGTGGGTCCCAGTACCAGCCTCTGCCTAATCCCTGCTCCCACCCAGAGCAGCTTGGCTGGATTTCCAGGAGGCTCTCACCTCCCAGGCCTGCCCACACAAGACCCACACCCTGACCGAGCCGCTATCCGCCCCCAGCCCCCACGCGTGAGGCTGTGGCCAGCCCCTCCTGAGCCTGAACACTGAGCTGGGTCCCAGGTGACCCTGGCACAACCCCATGCCCCTGCCCAGGGTCCGGGTAGGGCCTGCCCGTAGTGACTCTGGAGTCCAGAGTGATGGACCAAACCTGAGCCTCCTTTGCCGTGGTTTCCTCAACTGCGAAGTGGGTGGTCCAGAGGCCAGCAGCCTTTGGGTCTGTCCGGGAAGCAAATGAGGCATTGCCGGTGCAGCGGGGAGCAGCGCTGCTCACGCTCCAGGAATGTGTGGGTGGGGACCCTGCGGAGGGGCCGCCCAGGAGGAGAGGTGCGGGTGGAGAGCTGCCTGGGCCCTTCCCTTGGTGGGTGTGGGTGGAGCTCCGGGCTGACCTTCATGTACCAGGCACCTGTCGGGAGCCAAGGCCTTGCTCTATGGGCTCTTAGTCTCCTATTGCTCAGGTGGAGAAACTGAGGCCCAGTGAATAGCCAAAACGGCACTGCATGGCCAGGGTGTGATCACTGTCCCAGGGGGCCCTGGCAGGGTCTCCACAGGGCACCCACTACACCATGCTAGGTGGTGGCCACTCAGCCAGGATGTGACTCCCAGAGTATTGGCCACACTGTGGCTTCTTTCTAATGAGTGCTGGGCTCTTGGTAGTGCAGTGAAGTGGTTGGGTGAGGAGCTGCAACAGTCCAGGGGTTGGGGGAGACAAATCCAACCTGACCAGCTGCAGCGAGCACACAGCACTGCTCTCCGGCACAGAGGGGCCATGGGAGCCCACCTGCCCGGCACTGGCTGTTGCCAGATGGGAGGAGGAAGGCGCCTTCCTGGTGCTGTGGCTGCTGGCCACTGGGTATGGACAATGCGCACCTCTGTGCCAGCTGGACTCCAGTGACGGCTCACAGATCCCTGACTGTAGACCACAGCCTCAGTCGTGTGGCCTTGATGCCGAAGTCACTGGTGTGTGACTCCCTCACTTCCCCGCCAACCCCTCCGACGGTTTTGTGAACAGCAATTCCCTGTGTGGGACTTCTCTGAGTTACAGACCTGCAGGGGTTTCCTTTTGCTGCACTGAGTATGTGCAGCTGCCCCGTCCCTGACTGGCTCCATGGGCTGGGTTTTCTACATGTGCTAACTGAACGGGCATGCCTCGTTTTATTTGGCTTCACAGATGCTGCTATTTCTTTTTTACAAATTGAAGGCAAGATCCTTTCCCAGCAAAAATATTATGACTTGCTTTATTGTGGTGGTCTGGAACGGAACCCTCAATATCTCCAAGGTACGTCTGTACAAAATTCAACCAGGCTGCCCGGTACAAGAATCAACTTACGAAGTCCATAGCGGAGCAAATGCCTTAAAGTCTTGTTCGCAGACCATAACTGAAAAGTTCTGACAAAATGTGAAAAAAACAGTTTCCCAAGGGCCCTCCGGAGTGAACAGAAGTCAGATCCTGAGGGGAACTGATATTTGGGAAAGATGCCAGCATGGAGCGGTTCTCTGTGTGAGGCGTGGCTTTGCCATGAGGACAGCCCGAGGTGTGGCCACCGGGTACGAGTGCTCGGACTTTACCTGAGCCTCTTGCTGACCCCCGAGTCATGCGTGTGCAGGCGGACTGAAAACAGCTCAGACAAAGATGGAAAATGGGCCGAGACTGACCGCTGCCCACCTCGGGAGCAGCAGAATTCACAGTGAAAGATACGGCCCACCAGAACAAAGCAAAAGCAGGAATGGTCTTCCCAGGAATATAACAATTCAGTGTCTATACAACATCATAGTCACATTGTTCATGAGAAAATCCAAAAATACTCGACACAGGAAAAGCCAGGAGATTGTGACCCAGCCTCAAGGGAAAAGGATCGATTTGGACCCATACCAAGATGAGTCAGCTATTAGAACTACAGACAAGGATTTTAAAGAAGCTATTGCAACTACCCCCATTGCAACCACACCCAAAGAGACCATGGAAAACAAGCTTTTGTGAACCGAGAGGTAGGGGAAACGGAAAATATTTTTTTAAAGAACCAAATAGGAAATTTTAGGAATCAAAAATTCAAACTCTGGAATTTTAAAAATTCACTGGATGGTCTTAATAACAGGATTAATCATTTCTAATTGAGGGTTAGGTGGGAGCTTCTCAACTGCACAGTTAAATGGATTTTAAAATGTGGAAATTTCCTTTGTGTTCGCATCAAGAACAATTGTTTGAGCTCAAAAGATACAGCCTCTGCAGACGGGCATGGGAAATAAGAGTTCGCTTCTTGTTTTAACTCTGACAGCACAGGAAGTGTATAAAGCGTGTTACTGGTGATTCACAGGGCACTCGTTGTTAATATGACGGTAGTACATTACGTGTTTTGCATATAAGTGCTATTTTCCATTGTAATTTTAGGTGGACTTCATTAAAAAACATTATCAAGTCTGAAGCAAATGTTAAATCCCAAAGATAATCAGTGTTCGATAATTCAGGTTAAAGGGGGGTCTTCTCTGTGAATATACTGACAAACATTGAATTGTACACTTAAAGTGGGTGAGTTGTATATTATGAGAATATCTCAGTAAAGCTGTTTGTTTGTTTGTTTGTTTGTTTAATATATTTTTATTGATTTCAGAGAGGAAGGGAGAGGGAGAGAGAAACATCAATGATGAGAGAGTATCATTGATCGGCTACCTCCTGCACACCCCCTTATGGGGATCGAGCCCACAACTCGGGCATGTGACCTTGGCCGGAATCGAACCTGGGACCCTTCAGTCCACAGGCCAACGCTCTATCCACTGAGCAAAATTGGCTAGGGCTCAGTAAAGCTGTTTTTAAAAACAGGCCAAAGACCAATCAGCACATGAAAAAATGCCCAACATCATAATCACTCGTTAGGGAAATGCAAATCAAATCCACGGTGAAATACCACTACACCCCCACCAAAATGACTAAATTTAAAAGGACTGACAATGACAAGTGTTGACACGAATATGGAACAACTGGAACTCTCAAATACAGCTGGTGGGAGTACAAATTAATATGATCACTTTTGTATGGCATTTTCTTTTTTTCTTTTTAGTTTTCATTCAACATTATTTTGTATTAGTTTCAGGTGTACAGCATACTGGTTAGACAATCATACACTTTACAAAGCAGTCCCCCCAATATTTCAAGTACCCACCTGGCACCATACATATTTATTACATTATTGACAATATCCCCTATGCTGTACTTTACAGACCCTGACTATTTTGTGCCTTCCAATTTGTACACCTTAATCCCTTTACCTTTTTCACCCAGCTCCTCCATCTCCCCTCCCCTCTGGCAACTATCAGTCTGATCTCTGTGTCTATGAGTTGGTTTCTATTTTGTTTGTTCATTTACTTTGCTCTTTAGTCTCCACATATAAGTGAAACCAAATAGTATTTCTTTTTCTCTGTCTGACTTATTTCACTTAGCATAATACCCTCTAGGTCCATCCATGCTGCTGCAAATGGAAAGATTTCTTTTTTTCTTGGCCAAGTAATATTCCACTGTATATATGAACCACGACTCTTTTATCCACTCATCTATTTATGGGAACTCGGGTTGCTTCCATTTCTTGGCTATTGTGAATAACACTGCAATGAACATAGGGTTGCATATATTGTTTTGAATTTGTCTTTTGGGTTTCTTCAGATACATTACCCAGAAGTGGAATTGCTGGGTCATAAAGTACTTCCAATTTTAATTTTTTTAGGAACCTCCATACTGTTTTCCATGGTGGGTGCACCAATGTGCATTCCCACCAACAGTGCACAAGGGTTCCCTTTTCTCCACATCCTTTCCAACACTTATTGATGGCAGCCAGGTGTGAGGTGATATCTCATTGTGGTTTTAATTTTCATCTCTCTGATGATAGTGGCACTTAGCATCTTTTCATGTCTATTGGCCATCTGTATGTCCTCTTTGGAGAAGTATCTATTCAGATCTTCTGCCCATTTTTTAATTAGATTGTTTGGGCAGGGTGTTGAATTGTATTATTACTGAATGGGGTCTGGGCCCAGGGCGGTCTGCCTAGGGTCTGATGGTAGTCTATGCGTTCCTGACATTGTATAAGAAAGATTTCACAACACAAATCCAGGAGATTTTATGAGTATGTTTACAGCCAGAGACGTGAAACAAAGGAAGGGCTTAATGTAGAAGAAGCAACAGGAGAAAGTCAGAGAAAAGGGAGCCTTGGAGACAGGTTCAAGGGTTAGCCCAGGTTGAACAACTGCTGCCCACTGCTCCCCTGTTTGCAAGTCTCATAGGGTCCCCTAGAATTTGGAAGATGCATGCCTGTGGGGGAAGAAGTGAGGGAAGGGAAAGATGTGGGAGTGCTCCCAGGAGGGAGATCAAGCTGTGGATCTTTTATCTTGAGGCTCTTTTATCTTTCATTGGCAGCTGGAATCCTATAGGAGGACTCAGAGGAGGGTCTTAACAGAATATTCATTAGCTTTTCAGATGTGCCCTTCAATATATTGATTCATCAACATGTGTAGGGGTAATGATGGATGTTTCATTCTCACACCAATGTTTCTCTCTGTCTCTGTCTCTCCCTTCCTCTCTCTCTCTAAACTATCAATTAGAGAGAGAAGGGAGAGGGAAAGACAGAAAGAAACACCAATGTGAGAGAGACACTTCGATTGGTTGTCTCCCACAAACCCCTATTGAGGATCAAGGTGCCTACAACCGAGGTATGTGCCCTTGACTGGAATAGAAACCAGGACCATTCAGTCTATAGGTCGACACTCTATCCACTGAACCAAACCGGCCAGGGCAGAAAATATTTTTTAAAAATATAATGTCAGCTCATAAGCCCAGCTTAAATGCACTAAGATAATGCCAGAGGCCAGGAAGAACCACACAGCAGTCTTGGGTTTCCCATTGCCCTGACTCATTTGTTTAATTTACAACCACTGTGTACCAATCCCAGGAGTTTTCATCACTTATTTTACAATGTTTATAAAACAAATCTTTTGAGGTGTTCCAGGGGCCCTTTGGAAACACTGAAGTTATTCATACATATATTGAGATTTTAATCCTTAAAACCTCAATGTCTAATGAAAACTAAGAAATAATCAATTAGCATTCTTTAGCTTGGTAGATTTATAGAGGAGGCATTTTATAACCTCTAGAAATATGTTAATAACATCAAAGTCAGTTATTAACATGGGTTATTTCTGCAAAACCTAAGCAAAATAAAGACAAGTCTGGTTTA